CAATGTGGGGTGTTATTTTCTTTCCCATTTTTTTTTTTAAACTTTCAGGAGAAAGTCCAAATCTTGGCAAGCCAACTCAAGAAGCCGATTTGCCTTTCTTTGGGGACCTTCTGGGTCCATCACTCCCATGGTGAAGCTGTCTACTCCGAAAAGCAGAGCCTCCAATCCGAAAACCACAGAGATGACTGCGTAGTTTACATTCAACTCCCCAACAGAGCAAAAGAACCAGAAACACTAAATCCCTAAGCGCCTCAAGTTGCCAAGACATGTCAAGGTCTGTTTCCAGGTATTACACAAAAGAATGGAAGCTTTCATTTTATAAAGAGGAAGCGTGGTGCTCTGCAATTTCATGGCAATAAACAGAACTTCGCTTCTTTTGCCTTGCTCAAATTTAGCCAGTTTCAGCCTGCCCAATATTTTTCCCCAAATTACAACATTAAAAAAAGCATTTATCCATTATTTTAGGCCCTCTGCTCTGCACAGAATTGTTTCTTAAAACAATCACTGCTTCCTCAAAACGACAAGAGATGCTATATATAGCCTGCCTGCCTCCCATTTAGTTCGATACCCATACAACGAAACAGCCAAGAACAGGGGAGTGTGCAAAATATTTCCATCCCAAAAACAGGCCAAGTTCAGAACAGGTCATTCTTCTTCTTCTTTTTTGGGGGGTGGGTGGGGAGAAGCTGTTTCCAAACATCCTACTTTCAAAAGGGACTCAAGTGATCCAGCATTGTCTTGAGGTGAGGATAGCCTGCACTGTGCAATTCTTGAAATCGTACAACTTTTAAAAAACAGCCACAAAGCACGGCCACTTTGACCTGGAAGCTGTTCTTGTGAAAGCACCCAGAAAAAGAGGTTTCCAAGCAATGAATCAAGCCAGAATCAACTGGATCAGCCATGCCAGGAACAGCACCAGTGGATTGAAAGAGACAACTCCAAAACCTTGCAGGAAGAACGCGCTTAACTCAAACTTAGTTAGAATGAGGAACAGTCAGACTGCAACCCACGAGGGCGGTCTCTTAAATTTCATTGGTTTTTTTGTTTGTTTTTGTTTTAAAAAAAGGGGGAAAAGTTTCTAGATCTCATGATCTTGAAGGAAGTGTCTGGACAATATTTGAGGAGATGATTACAGTACTTAGTAAGACAGTTTGTATCTGGGTAGGAGCTAAATAAGCCCTCTTTGCTAGGATTAAGCAAAGCAATTTTGAAAGGCTTTCTTTGACGGGTGTCCCCAACTCCCAGGCTGGCAGCTTGCTTACAACTGGGGCGCTGCGCGTGCGTGCCCAGCTCAACTTGCAGCCGAGCTGCGTATGCCCATTGCTCGCGCGAGTCGAGCCGTGTACACCACGCGACCCAGCCCGCCACTCCTGCAACCCAGTTCTCCTCGCCCCCACCCCCCACACACAGTCAGGCCACAAAATGGGTGTGTGTGTGTGTGTGCTGTTCTTTCAGTCACATCATTTCGTGCATTTTTAACAGCCAGAGCACAGACACCTCCCTAGTAGGAATAAGACTGAGCGGCTGAGCCTCTTACTGCAGTGGAAATAGGTTGTATGCAAGGAAGCGCTCGTTTTTCCCATCTTCAAGTTTGGAGGATTCCAGCCCAATGGAAGAAACTTAGCAACTGCCCAAGTTTAGAAATCCTGTCTTCCTAAATCAGGGAAGGCTGGATGGAGAACAATTCGGGAGAGGCAACGTTTGTGGTTTATCCAGACCGCCACTTGCTTCCTCGCAAGACATTTGGGAAATCATTTTTTTAAAAAAACAACAACAACTAGCTTCTCCTCCTTTGGATCAACAGGCTACAGAACCAGGCCAGAATACCAAGTTTGAGAAGGGAAGATCCGGGCTACGTTTCCATCCATATATATATATACATGGAATTGGTGAATTCCTCATGCTGCTGAGACCACAGTTTTGTGGCTTAAAGATGGCTGAAGGGCTAAAGAGCCCTTACACTCTTGGGAGGTTTTTAACAGCTGTCTAAAGTTCTAAACAAATCATATATTTATATTTTGGGTGAACGTGAAGAAAAATGTCCCACTAGTAAAAAAAAAATTGTGGAATTAATGTTCCAGAGGTGTGAAGGTCTTCCTTTTTTTGGGTGGAAGATGGACAGTTATCTCTTTGGGATGTTTCAGTTTGTACAGCTGTGTCAAACAGGGCTGGATTTTATGACCTCACTGGGCCTCTCTATGGACGGGTTTGCTAATAAGACTGGTAGGAAGAACGCTTCCTGCTCCTGAACGCAATGATGTTAGGAAGCTTCCACAGTTAATTGGAAAAAAAAAAGATGTTCTTGCCCTACCAAGAATCCTTCTCCGAGACGAGACACATTTCTTCTGCAAGGAAGACTTGGGAGGAGCACCTTTCTGGAACACTGCTAAAGGCAGAAGAATGCATATACTCTTAGTGAAAAAAAGGATGTGTCTTTACAACTGGAAAAGTTCAAATCTCAATTCCTCATAAGCCTTGTTACCCTATCTCAGTGACAATGGGAAAAGCCATAATCCAGAATTAGGCATCTGATGAAAGGGAGCTCACTTCTAATATATATATATATATTTAATTTGGAAAAAGTGCCACCATAGAATCCTTCTAATTTTTTTTTTTCTACCCAAAATTACAATCCACAGGCAACATCAACAATAATCTGTATCTAAGCGGAAGACAGATCCTTAGGAATCGGTGGGTGGACTTGCGTTAATTCACCCCACACCCTAAAGTTAGTTCTATAGTGGGCTTCTCTCAACCCAACTCTTTTAAGGTTATGGCTTGGCCAGAACGCCGTGGATCACAGCAGCATGTTCAACAAGAATAGGAAAACGACGGAAGGTTCAGAATAGGATGTTCCTCCTTAGAAACCAATCACAGGCCCCAAAGTTAAGCTAGAAAAGCTACTAGTTGGATGCTCCAGAGACAGAGAGAGAAAAAGAGACCACATGAAGCAGCTTTGCAAAGATAACACTCCAAAATCTAGAAAACATCTTGAAACGTCGGTTAAAGAGTTTATGCAGTGATACTCACAAGGAGTGCTTTGAGAGAAAGCAACCCACGGGTGACAATGTTTGGGGTGCTTCTAGGATGTTTCACAATCTACGAAGAGCTAAATCAAACTATGATCCAAGTTCTCCTCTCAACTGCTGTATCTTTGTCGTAAAAATAAATAAATCACAAGTCTCTGTAGGGATCTAGGCAGGTGGCAAATTTTCACTTATTCACCGGTCTTCTAATACCACCAACCAAATGAGCACCCTTCGTCCAGAGTTCATAGCTCATAACTCTCTTTCTGGGACAATCGGATCATCGCTAAATAACCCAAAGCTGACGGATGGCACCTTATTCTATCAATTTAAGGTTCTCCATTTTCAACCTCGTGATTCCTTTTCTCTCTCCACATGACTGTGGAGGAACATCACCCTGGCTGACAAAATTGGATTTAAGCCCGGGGCAGGAAGACTGTTATAAAGAAACTTGGCTAGGAGTGGGGAGATTAGTTACTCAATAAAGGAATTTAGAACAGCACGGAAGTTTCTTCCGTAATATTCTTCCAACCACACGCCCAAAGGATGAAGACAACACCCAGGCCTCCAAGAAAGGGAGAAGGACACCAACTTCCTTGTCCACTTTGAACTTTTACTGGATGGGATTTATTTCAAGGGTCTTGGCGGAACCTCTCTTAATTTTTTCATTTCTACATTTCATGTCTGGCCTTTCAAATCCCAGCCCTCAAGATTCTCATCCACCCGCATTAAAAACTAGTCAGCAATTTAAAATAATAATAATAATAATATAAATATATAAACAGGAAGACAGATTAAAAAGTCTCAACTCCTTCACGAGTTCAAGTGGAGTTGACAAGCTGGGTTGACTCAGATTTTTCTGGATCGACAGAAACGAGTCTTGGGCTGTTTGGAAAAACAGGAGATGCCCCCAGATCTACGCAGGCACCTGTGTTTCCATGGATAAAACACCACAACTGGCAGTTGGATATATGTGTTAATTGGCTCGCTGTGGTGAGAGGATAGGCCAGTGATGGCGAACCTTTTCGGCACTGAGGGCCCAAACTGGAATGTACACGCATGTGCATGTGTGCGTGCTAGAGTGCCAGAAAACGAAAGACCAGCTGGCTGGTGTGCGCATGCCTGTTTTTTGCCTGTTTGGGGGGCCATTTTCAAGTCATTTTCAGGCTGGTTTTGGCCTGAACATGGCCCAGAAAACAGCCCAAAAACAGCCTGAAAGTGGCCCGAAACACAGCCCAAAAATGGCTTGAAAGTGGTCAGGGAACAGCTTGAAAACAGGCCGAAAAAGGGTCTGTTTTTTGGCCCATTTTCCGGCACCTGCAAAGACCAGCTTGGCCAGTGCACATGTGTGTGCCAGAAACCGTAAGAAGAGTTGGCAACGGTGCGCATGTTCACAGCGAGGGCTCTGCCTGCCACCTCTGACATGCGTGCCATAGGTTCGTCATCATGGGGATAGGCCCAAATCAAAGAACTACACGCGAGAGGCTGAAATCCATCTCCTGAGTCACTTGGACTGAAATGGATATCGTCCTGGTGATTTGTGAGGACACAAGTCTCCTCACAAAGAGTGTCAGGTGAGGAAGTATGTGCAAAAGTGCATTGCACACACGTTGGAGAAAAGGGTAAAACTCAAAAGAGTTCCCTCTAGGTTGGGGTGTGGGCAACTAAGTCCCCTTGAGTATCTGTGGACTTCAACTCCCAGAATTCCTGAGGTAGCCATGATGGGCTGAGGGATTCTGGGAGCTGAAGTCCACAGGTCATGAAGGGGCCATAGTCACCCACCTTTGCTCTAGGGGCAGGGATGGGGAACCATGGGCCCTGTTATGACTGTTGGACTTCAACTCCCACAATTCCTGAGCCTGGCTCAGGAATTCTGGGAGTTGAAGTCCACAAGTAAAAAAAAAAGGGCCATGGTTTCCCACTCTTGCTCTAGGTCAGGGGTCTTCAAACTTGACAGCTTTAAGATTTGTGGACTTCAACTCCCAGAATTCCTCCTCCAGTCATGTTAGCTCAGGAATTCTGGGAGTTGAAGTCCACAAGTCTTAAACTTGCCAAGTTTGAAGACCCTTACTTTAGGTCCATATAATCACTGGGGACCTGAAGTGGCTTTATTTAAAAACATTAATTCTACAAAGTCAATACAGAAGGCTTACGAAAACAGATTCTCAGCCAGACACCTCCACAAGAAAGAAAGAAAAAAAAAACCTCCAGAAAAGGGATTTTCTCTGCTTCTTCCTCTTCAAAATGTCTGAACATTATTGTGGCCGAAGAGACCCCCGCCCAAATCAAGTGCCGTTCCGTCCTACCAAGAATTCCCACATCCCATTCCTGTTTCCAATTCCCATAAGCCTCCTTTCTACTCCTTCCTTAAATCCTTCGGTTCTCTCTTCGAGAGAAAGGCCACCTTCCCGGTCCTCCTACTTCTAACCTCAACCACTTTTCTTCTCCAAAGACATGCAAAAAGTAGCCAGCCTTATCCGATCCTTATTCGATCCGATGGGGAATTTTTATGACTTCGTGGGCGAGGACATAAAAGAGAAATGGCATCCTGCTGGAAGCGAGGGGGGATCGCGAGTCGTGAAAGACACATCAGGATCAGTGGATTATCATCTCCACAGACCAAGGGATGTCCCGTCTCTTGTTCAAAGGGTTGGCTCCCAACCCTTGCAAGAAAGGATGACCCACAGCTACCTGTTCAAACATGAAAGCCAACCCAACCAACCAAGCACAGCACAACACCCCTTTGTACCCCAACTAACTCGGCTCCCCGGTGTATCTAGGTTTATCTCTGCCCAGAAATAAGTGGGCTTTAACTATGGCCTTCTACTTTAGCTAGTTCATTCCTTAATCCATCCCCCAAGTTCTCCTGGAGGTAAAAAGACGACCGCTCCAGAGTTATTGCATTGAAAAAGTTGATGTCAGTTACAAAGAGCTTGCGACAAGACAAAATATTTGGGAAAGGAAGGAAGGAGAGAGGGAGGGGAAACCAACGTTATTTCAAGCCTTGGAAACCAAACAAAGGGGGAAAACCAGCGTTCTCCTTGCTTGGGAACAACTCCAAAAAAAAAAAAAAAAGGGAAAAGTTGTGACCAAATTGTCCTCTGCAAACTTCAGAAGTCAAGCCCTGTGCGCTTTGAGGGTGGCATGGTTTGTCTTCCCTCTCGGGTGGGGTTCCGGCAAGGAGGCACCGCAGAGGTTACATGATGCAGCATTTATTCTTGTGGTTCTGGGGATCCTTGAAACGCAGACGCTGCTTGGGCCGGTATTTCTCCAGGTAGGTCAGCTGCTTGCTGTTGATGGCTCCTCGGCGTTTCCTGCAAAGAGGAAGAGGAGGAGGAAAAAGCATGTTGCGTGCGCCACAAAAGCTGCGAAAGCGGAGAGCGTCTTTTCCATATAGGGATGAGACAACTCTGGTTTAGTGGTTAAGGCACCAGGGTAGAAACCGGGAGATGGGGAGTTCTAGTCCCGCTTTGGGCATGAAAATTAGCTGGATGACTTTGGTCCAATCACAAAGAGACACTGAGTTCTAGTTCCACCTTGGCATGAAAGCCGCCTAGGTGACTTTGAGCCAATCACCAGGAGATGGTGAGTTCTAGTCCCACCTTGGGCATGAAAATTAGCTGCGTGACTTTGGGACAATCACCAGGCGATGGTGAGTTCTAGTCCTGCCTTAGGCAGGAAAACCAGTTGGGTGACTTTGGGGCAATGACCAGAAGATGGTGAGTTCTAGTTCCACCTTTGGCATGAAAGCCGGCTGGGTGACTTTGGGCTGATCACCAGGAGGCGATGAGTTTTAGTCACCCAGCTGACCTTCATGCCTAAGGCGGCACTAGAACTCACTGTCTCCTGATAATTTATTAGACTTGTTTGCCGCCCATCTTGCCAAGAAGCCCAAGGTCATCCAAACCACCCAGCTGGCTTTCATCCTATGCTGGGGTCTAGAACTCACCATCTCCCGGTTTCTAGCCTGGTGACTTAACCACTAGACCAAACTGATTCCAGGCAACAACATGGACACATCCATGTGGATTTCTTGGCATGAGTATAAAAGTGATCCACTCATGTCTTCTTTCGGGTTGGAACTTTGAATCCAGGTCGCAAGTACCTTTTGGGGGGATCCATTGTAACTTAGAACTTAGTGACTAAGCAACCAGCCATAAGTAGAGCAGGGGAAGGCTTGGGGAAAAAAACAGGAAAAAATTGCGAAAAAAACCCAGTGTTTCCCCCCTGTTTTTCTCCAAACGGCTTTGGGAAAAAAACCTTGTTTCCCTCTCCCAATTTTTCCAGGGTTTTCCCCCCAGGAATTCCTATCTCTAGCTCGTAAGTTGAAGTCTACCTGTACGCTGCCACAGGTATGGTTCCGCAAACTGTTTACTGTAATGCCAAATTCTGACGACACTTCAAAGAAAATTTGGACTGCAGGCAGGCAGGAATGCTTACCCTACTTTCAGGCGAGAAGCATCTCTGCCTGGAGATTGAGACTCTAAGCACCTTCCAGTACTTAAGATGATGCATGGATTGCAATTTTGTGAAGGGTTGGGGAAGGTGGGATTTTAAGCACCTCCCCATCTATGCCCCGAAGTGGTACAGCCCAGGAGGACAGGCCCCTATCGAATTCCTTTGGGATGTGCCAAGTTGTTTGCCCACCAACCTGGGGTCGTTCATCTCCATCAGAACAGGTGGCACGGAGGTTTCTAGAAGAGCACTTACTGTCTAATGAACTGGATGGCGTCTTCGTATTTCATCCCGCTCTCAATCAGGGCCAGCGCGACCAGAACTGGAGCCCTAGACAGGAAAAGGCAGAAGTGAGGTCAGGCCCACAACGCGGTACCATTTCTCTATTCCAATTTTGAAAAAAGCAAAATGGCTGAAGAATAATTCAGGACGCCAAGGTTGAAGTGAGAAAACACCCCTGGCTGAAAAATTCCACATCATGTTCTTGTTGTGCACAAAACTGAGCTTCTAGACCTGTTTTTTTTTCTTTTCCAAACTTGGCAACTTTAAGATGGGAGTTGAAGTCCAACCCGTCTTAAAGTTGCTAAGTTGCATCTAGACCAAGTGCCGATCAACAAATGTTTCACTAACACATACATCTTAAACCAGGGAAGGTATGTTGTGGCCCACCAATCAGACAGTGAAGAGGTTGGGGAGGAACATGGGCCAGTCCTGGAGTCTGGGGAAGGCTCTGACTAGGGCTCTGCGTCGGAGGCAGAGATGGGGCCAGGGCCTTCTGACAGTTATCAGCTGCCTTCGGAGTCGGAGATCAGTGGGGCAGAAGAACAGCTGGAGCCTATTCCCAATGTGCACACGCGCAGAGCTGTCAGAAGAAGGGTACAGTTAAGGATCAAGGATCGACTTGGGAGTAAAGGCACAGGTAGACGGTGAATGGCCCCTCCTATAGGGAATAAAGAGGAGTGAAAGGGGAGTGGTGTTTGCAGGAGACAATTAATTCATTTAATTTGTGTGAAGATTTGTTCATGACTCTCAGAGACTCCTCGCCAAGTATTTTCTTGTACAGCGTTGCGCTTGGAAGATATCAGCCTGGCAGCTCTCCAAGCCTGATAATGTCTGTTGCAGTTCACCCTTGAAAGACCGTTTGCCGGGACTTTGCTAGATGTGAATGATAGGAATTCACATTAGCCTAATAAAAAGGGATTTTGTCGGGACAAAGAGTCTGCTTCGTGATTTTGTGAAGGTAGAACAAGGTAGTAATTCTCCTGGCCATGGATAATTGCGTAGTTTTGTGCAAAGAGAAACATTGATCAAAAATTGTTTTTACTCTCTCCGTGCCCGTCACGAAGGATGACACTCACCGTCCCAGGCCAGCTACACAATGGACAGCGACGCAGCACCCGGGGTCTTCACAGAATTTGGTCTTCAGCAAGTTGAGCCAGTCATCCACAATTTTGTTGGGTGGTGGAGCTCCATCATCGAAGGGCCAATCCTGGAGTAGAAGACCAGAAACCAAGTGGGACATTTTCAACCAAATAGGAAGAGGATTAAGGGAATATTTCAAGTGTTTGTTAAATAAGTCCTCAAAATGGTAGTCCTCGTGTTACAATACAACCTATCAACTCATAAAACATTCCCGTGCCTGTTTTGGTAGTTGCTATAAAAAAAAAACAGGTGGGGGGGGGGGGGAGGAAATCTGGAAGAGCAGTTGAAAGCTAAAGTACATTCCAACTCTTTATCTTTAAAAGATTGCAATTAAAATACCAGAGATTTTGCCCGCACATATATTTAATTGGAGAATGTGATTGATGACACCCAGCCTGTGAAGTGCTCAATTGGAGAATCTGGTTTATGAGACACCCAGGGGTTAGGGAGGAAACAGGGCCAGAGGGGACTGTAAATGACGTAGGGCAGAGTTGGTGTTAGCCTTCAAGACTCCTTTCTTTCGCTTTCTCTTTGGCTGCCATAGTAACAGGGGGAGGGTGAATTAATTGGGCTTGGTGGGGTGGGAAGAGCGCTGGAGGTTTTAGAGAATGAACTGTATAACTTGGGGAAAACGTTATTGTTTACGCTTATTTGCTTGCTTTCTGCGCAACTGCAGCTCTTTATCAAACTAGGCCAAGGTCAACAGCCAGATGTCTGCATCACCATCTGAAGATGCCCCAAATGACATTATACACATCCTCGTTTGAACTATGGTGGGTGGGAATGTTGCCGTAACTTTGTATATGTGTTTTTCGCGTGTAAATCATCAGGTCTAGAATCCTTTCGATGCTACCGCTTGATTTCCAGTAAAAAGTTTCTTTTCTCTATAACAATGGAGTCTGTCTTTCTTGGATTTTGAATGGAGCACCAACTGACATTTGGCTTCATACAGGGCAGTGCCAGTATGTCACCTCTAATGAATCTTTTGAAGTTTTTATGAAGCTTGGCTTCAGAATCATGATTTAATTAGGGCGATTGCTGGAATCCTGACACAACCATTAGTTGAGTGACCGTTTGAAGTTACAATGGTACTGAAAAAAAAAGTGACTTACGACTGTTTTTTCACTTACGACCATTGCACCACCCCCACGGTCACGTGATCAAAATTCTTAGCTATGTGGGTCCACCTCCCGTTAGTTGTTGTTGAAGTTCTTCTTCTTCCTCTTCTTCTTCTTCTTCTTCCTCCTCCTCTTCCTCCTTTTCTTCCTTTCTCCTCCTCCCCTTTTGCTTTTCTTCCTCTTCGTCTTCCTCCTTCTTTTCCCATAATTCCTTGCTGGGTGGTCTCTGGGCAACAGAAATGGAGCTAGCAGAGTGTTTCTTGGCCGGATGCCCTTCCTATCGCTGGTGTGGAGTTTTGTTCAGCAGATATATTCTCATTGTGTCCAGAGAGAGAAACATCTGCCTCTACCGAGGATCGAATTCACAGCCTCCTCATTGTGAGGCGAGCGCTCCACCTCTAGGCCACCATACCACTCCTGGCCTACTTCTTAGTAGTAGGGAGAAATTTCCTGCATTTTTCTTCTCTGTATTCCCTGGCCTTTTTGGGAGGTTTTTGTTTTTGTTTGCAATTTGAGGGGTCCTTGGTGCTCTCTGAGCTTGGTTGCTTTCTTGCAGGCATTTCATGACCCAAACCATTGCTAGTAGCATTGATGATGTTACCTAGTTTGGGTCATGAAACGTCTGCAAGAAAGTAAACAAGCTCGGAGAGTACCAAGGACCCCCTTATTTCACTCCTGAGCTGCCAATATTCTCCTTTTATGTTTGCAATTTCATAGTTTGCACCCAATGCCCAGTCCCTTTTTCTCTTGGGTTTTTGGAGTGTTACCCTGATGATAGAAAGGCAGAATCTCAAGTCTGCTTACGCAATTCCCTTCTAACACAGCACTGAGTTGGAGAAAAATAAAAATGGGAATTGCTCAAGCTTGCCTAAAAAATACAGATGTTCATTCCAGAGGCAGGATTTTAATTGTTGGGATTGAGACTTTGATGTTTCCCAATGACAACTGGTAGAGGAACTAATATCCTATGGTAATAGTCTCACTGTAGGGAGCTAAGTTTTCTAAGTGACCAGAAATAATACAATTATTCTTTTTTTTCCTGCCAAGATTTTGAGCTGTTGCCCAAGAGAATGAAAATTTAGGATTATGCAAGATGGGACATTTTTGGGGTGTGTGTGAGTGTGAGGAATTTCCTTCTCCTGCTGCAAAATAATCTTTTCCAGATCTGGAGAAGTCTTTTTTTTTTTAAAGGCTGGTCAGAAAAGGGTGCCTTGCATCTTACTTAATTTGCACTTTGGGGACAAAATCTTTACTTCTTTTCTGTCAACAGAAAGAAATATTTGTGGCTTCAGGGTTGAACGGTGGGGTCTTTAGTGCTTTTTGAGCTTGGTAGTTTTCTTGCAGACGTTTCATGACCCAACTAGGTAACATCATCAGCGCTAGAAGGGAATGGGGTTTGTGGAAAGGAGGAGGAGGAGAACTGTGGGGTCCTTGATGGCCTGCCTGTAAGCTTGGTGGTTTTCTTGCAGACGTTTCATAACCTAACTAGGTAACATCATCAGTGTGAGAAGGGGCGGAGATCTTTCTTTCTTTCTTTCTTTCCTTCCTTCCCTTTCTTTCCTCTTCCTTCCCTTTCTTCTTTTCTTTCTTTCTTTCTTTCTTTCTTTCTTTCTTTCTTTCTTTCTTTCTTTCTTTCTTCTTTCTTTCTTTCTTTCTTTTTTCTTCCTTCCTTCCTTGCTTCCTTCCCTCTCTTCCTCTTTCTTTCTTTCTTTCTTTCTTTCTTTCTTTCTTTCTTTCTTTCT